AAGATGGGACTTAGGGGGGGAATCGACTCAAGGGACTGACCGTTGCTATTGGATGAGAGCGCGGTTCAGTGGTTCATCCGCAAGCCGTCCATGGCCACTACCGTGTGCGGGGGAGGAGCTGCTACGTGGCCGGCTTTGCTGCGAGAGGATCTGTGGTGTGCAGAGGGGCAGTCTTGGCCGAGCGTCTGTGGTGTCGGCCAGATGAGGGAGGCCGATGGGTCGGCTGTTGCACGGAGGCTGGGGAAGGGAAGGACATATTGGTGGAAGAGAGGGAGTTGTCGATTTGGCTTGGGTTCTAGATGTTGAAAATGCCGAGGGAAAAATCGAACTGGGGGACAGTTTTGGGGAATAAAAACAGAGGAAAAGGAGGGCGCCGGGTGCTTAGGTTTTTCTTTTTCCAAGGGAGCGGCGGCCCCTGGTTAGCCAGGGTCAGGGAGGCGGCCAGGAGCCAGAGACTGTGAGAAAGAAATGGGAGGCTTAGAGAGGGAAGGTCCCGGCCGGGTGGCTTTGGGTTCTCTCCTTTCAAAAGAGACTCTACAGCGGCGGCTGGTAGAGGTGGATTTAGGTTTTTTTTTTTTTGTGGCTTTTTTTCAAAGGAGAGGGGCGGCTGCAGGGGACAGAGTTTAGATTTTTAGAGTTTTTTTTGTTTTAGCTTTAGGGTTTTTTTTTCCTGATTTTCCCCTAAAATTTTCTCTACCCATCCCATAGCTTTAGGGTTTTACCTCTAAATTTTTCTCCTCTCCTGTTTTTTTTACTGTAAACTAGTATTTATAATATTTATTAGTAAAATGTTGCTGCATTTCTAAACTCAACTTTTCTTCTTTTTTTTCTTTTTTTTTGTTTTGTAAATTTTAATGCTTTTTTTTATTTTCGAGAGCGAGCAATATTAATATTGACACAACAAGAAAAATTAATAATTGTAAAATTAAAATGTTAAAAGTTGAACACGTTTAAAATACTTTAGAAAATTTAAATTCTTCTGAGATAACGTTGAAAATACTAAAAATAATGTAAATATATCAAAATATATTTTTTGGGGTTTTCATTGTTTTTTGCTATTTTTAGTTTTTTCTAAAAATTTATCAAAAACATGAGTTAAAAATTAGATAGCAACAGTAATATTGATGATCTCAAGTCTACAGATAGCTATCTTGTTTTCTTTGGTTAGACATCAATTTCATGGAAATCCAGCAAGCAATATACAGTTGCCCGCTTCTCCATTGAGACTGAGTATAAAGTCTTAGTAGATGGTACTGCTAAGATCATCTAGCTTCAATATTTGTTAACAAATCTGTAGGTTTCCTCTGTCTTTGCTCCTATCATTTGGTGTGATAATTTTGGTGTGACTTATCTCTCAGTGAATCCTATCTTTTATGCTCATACTAAGCATGTTGAGGTAAATTATCATTTTGTCTACGACTAGGTTGCGAAGAAGGGAATTTACATTAGCTTTATCTCTTCTTGGGGTCAACTTGTTGATGTCTTTACCAAATCACTTTTCGTTACGTTTTTTACTGCTTTTATGTTAAAGCTTCAGGTTGATCCTCCATCCTCAACTTGAGGGGGTATATTATAGAATATATAGCATGTATATTTTTAAATAAGAAATTAATATATGATTATTTCAATGTTGTAATCCCTACGATTATTACCATTTTCTACCACATATATATAAATAGGAAAGGTTAGCTAAAGCAAACTCAAGTCATTATGTTATTCTCAGCTCCTTCCAAAAATATTAAATGATTGATCAAGAGCAATTACAACAGTTCATCTGAAATTTTCGTATGATTTTCTTATAGCATTGCTCTGAAAAATTACATGGACAAATATACTCATGAAGTAGCATGGAAAAATGTGCTTTGATTTTGTGAAATAACATAGAAGTCATGATATTAGTTAGGTAAAAATATATCTAAAAAAAAAAAACCCTCTAAATTGAACTATATACCTTTCATTGATTCTAGGTTTGTTGCACCGAACCTGCAGACTGGAAAAGGATAAATTTACTCAAGGGCATCAAACATGGAAGACGATGAGTCAAGTTCTCCAAACAAGGGAAAAGTTATTGATGTAGGAAGTGATTCAAACATTGATAAGGATATTAAAAACTTAAGTCCTTCAAACAAAGGAAAGGATACAGCAAGTACCTCAAGTATTTCAAACCCGGAACTCAAAATTGAGATGACTAGCAAGATTTTGGCACAGCTGCATAATAAGATGGAAGGGCTGACCTCTCAACAGGACCGGGCTGATTGCAGTATATACAGGGTGCCCAAATCGCTTCGAGGCGTAAATTGGAAAGCCTACACTCCACTACTGATTTCAATATGTCCTCTTCCCCGCGAGACTAAAAGAATAGAGGCCATGCAAAATCATAAATGGAGATGTTTCAAAGAGTTTACTGAACTGTATGGGATGTATGAGGAGAAAATTAGGGATCTTGTGATCAGCATTCAGAATAAAGAAAAGTATATCCGAATCTGCTATTCAGAGAAATTCAACCGAATCAGTAGCTGTGATTTCATAGAGATGATCTTGCTGGATGCTGTTTTCAGAGTATCAACAGCCTAATCATTTTGAGCCCAGGATGATGTTTGACATACGAGAAAACTTGATTCTACTTGAAAACCAACTACCTTTCTCCATCATTTGGGATATATATCATGAGATCAATCGTGATCTCCAAGATGCAACATGGGAATCTTTTCTTGATCTTGTTACCTACATTTTTGGAAAGCACACAAGCGATATTGCTACGTTTCATTTTCAAAAGCACAAGTTTTCACAAGTGGCAGAAACCAGACAGATTGTAAAGGGAAGCAAGCATTTCACTGATTTACTAAGGAGTTTTATGCTGAAGGGATCCATTGAACGAACTTATAGTTTTAATCCTATCAAGCTGAAAGATAGTGCGGTCATGCTTCGCAAGGCAGGAGTGAAGTTTCAGGTTACCCAAGACAAATGCCTGGTCAACATAAAATTTGAGAAAGGTGTGTTGAAAATACCACGCTTGGAAGTTGATCACAGCTTCGAACGTCTTGTACGAAATATCATGGCCTTGGAGCAGTGCTGCTACCCGTCTGAAGCTTACGTATGCAGTTATATTAAGTTTATGGACCATCTTATCGACAGTGCAGAAGACGTGGGTTTGCTAGTCGGAAAGGGAATCACTCTCCACTGGCTAGGTGACGATGCCGCAGTTTCAAATGTGATTAACAATTTTTGCGAAAATATTGGTAACAATTGCAATTGTTTTGGTGATATCTCTCAAGAGATAAATGCTCACTATGAGAACCGCTTTAACCATCGAAAGGCAACCTTGAAACTTGTATATTTCCCCAATATTTGGAGAGGTACGGCAACTGTTGCAGCAGCTATCCTGCTTATCCTCACTTTCATACAGACTATAGCTTCCGTAAAATCGTTATAATGATTTTATCTTGCTTAGTTTCATTGCTACTACGTAATAATGGATTGGATTGTTATTGTCAATTTCCTTCGAAATATGTTTTTAAATTGTGAGTTTGTGGTGTTCTGAACCTAATGCATAGACATTATTGATGAAAGCTAGTAATTTAGACTAAAACTTCAACAAGTTTGAACCATCATCTAAGCTCAATATTACCGAATTAAATTTATTGGGTATGAGCTCAAATCAAATTAAAAACATAGTCCAAATACATTTCACTATTTTTATTTTAATATCTCTCTAATGATATTTTAAGTAATTTTTATTTTACACATGGTTTAATTTATTTTTTCTATTAGAAAAAACACTAGTAATATCTAGATATTTTTTTCATACATAAAAAAATTTGATCTAACTGGCCAACGAGCTAAAAATCTAGTTAGGCTTAATGTTGGTACATCAAAATACATATTTTTAAATTATGTTAATTTTAATTTTAATTTAAAATTTATCAAATCCCATTACCTAAGTTTTACATACTTGCACTTATCATTAATACTTAACTCGATCATTTTTTTTTTTGCACCTCGATACTTCATCACATAATTTAATTAGAATTCTTAAATTTATACTTCATCACATAATTTAATTAGAATTCTTAAATTTACACACGACTTTATAATGCTAATTTGTTCTGAATTATAAATAAATCCGAATCGGCGACATCCCACAAGTATATCAAAGGGAAGATCAAAGAAATTTTGTAGCCTAAGATCTTGCTGTTCATGTTCGCCAACTGAATTGCTATTCCACAGGTGTTGAAGGTATTTACTTGTTCCAGTTTCGACAACGGAACATGTGCCAGCGGACAATTCATATCGCCTAATGATTATACAACAGTTGAGGCATACACAACATCCATTCAGAGCCTGCTATATGTGTATATCCTGAGATGGAAAATCTTGTAGAATGTCAAACAGTGAATGAGCAAGAACATCATTCTTTAGATGGTTCTGTTAAGCCACATTCGTCTGTCGCAAAGGAACCGGAAACTGGAACCAAAGATAGCTCGAACGATACTAGTCCAGTCTAGGATGTAGTAACATTATACCTAGGATACTAAATTAAATTCTGGAAGATGAATGGTGCAAGCCAGCTTCCAATTAAGAACACAGGATAAAAAATCATGATATACGATACTGTACAGGTAGATTAGACACATACCATAAAGAAGCGGAGGTTAGAAATCAAGAGGGCTGCAGAGATTGATTTTGTCTCGGTAGGGAGATGGTCACAAAATTTTCAGGAGGAAAGCATACAGATTTTTTCATTCATTTGATTGAATATGAGACCAAACCTTGGGGACCAACCCCACTATAGAATGTAACAAAATTTGTCAAGGCAATAATATTAAATTCCAATTTAGTTCAGAACCCCCCCCCCCTCTAAATTTACTTATTTTTTTAAAGGTAAGAGATTTTATAAAATATAAATGAGATATAAAAATAAAAAAATTATATTTAATATGAAGAATTGATCCATAAAACTTATAAATATAAGCTTAACTCATGTAAGGTTTTTATTTATACGAATAAAAACACTAATTTCAATAAATTTAATTAACTCGATTATTATTTTAATGATTTATTTAACCCGATAAAATTTAATGAAAAATTACTCAGTTAAATTAAATATTTTTTTTAAAAAATAAAATTGCCACTAAAATATACCCAAGCAACATAAATCATTTACTTACACAATTATATAAACATTTTCCCATCCCATAAATAATTGAACTTCATTCCATCATTTTATTGGAAGTAAAACTCGTGGACGACTCGTCGCTTCAACTTAAAAACCACGCGTAATCCATTTAATAATAAACAAACTGTCGTCTGCCATTGCTCGGATAATCGCCGATTTGTCGTCAAAAGACAACTTGGAAATGCAAGCACTGCCTGTTAGCCACGGAGAAACTGAAACAGGTAAGGTCTGCACAAAAAAGGAGCAGCCAGCTTCGCCAGTAACAAGCCCAGTAGAGCTCAAAGAATGTATAGAAGAGTTAGTAAAGTTCACTCCTGGGGTTCAATTTAGGCCCCTCAAGGGAGTCCTCTTCTTACCTGCTCAAAGAAGATCAAAATGATCACTACCCCATTTCACATACTACTTATGGTAAGAAAGTATTGAACTTTATGCATTAGAAAATGAACTACTTTGATTTGTTGTTTCCGGTTCTTTTTCTTTTTGTGTTTGGTTTCTGGGAGAGTGGCATGCTTGGACTCATTTGGGCTAGTTTTGGTTTTTGATGATATTATTGATGGTTGCTGAGAAATTCAATGGTAAGGAAAGGATTGTGAAAGAAAAACAGATTCTCCTTTTGAAGTTATAATTTTAATTGGTTTAATGTAGAGTTTTTTTTTTTTTAAAGTTGTATATACTTGTATTGGGATTTATTCCTTTGGCCATTGATTGGTTGCTGAGAATTTATAGAAAGAAAAAACATGAAAAGGAAATACAGAGGGAGAGAAAGTTCGTGACTTTATTGTGCTTTGATTGTTGTTTTCTTAATTAATGTTACTTAAAAGACAATTTGATATTGCTTTATGTGCTAATTTTTCTTTTTTCAGTCTGTGAATTAAACTGTTGCAGATTGCTTCAGAGTTCAGACAAGTTCCTCCACAGCCTCTATACAAGTGCCTAGCGATGGCATTGTATGATTCTGTAACCTGTGGAAAGGCATCTAAGAAAAAGGACTTGGCGGATGAAGACAGTGAGTCCAAACAGAGAAGAGAATGGAATGATTTGGTTCTGAATGAAGGAACTGAATTGGTAAATATATATTTTTTTGTGGTGCTAGTTTTTGCTTTCTATTGGTATCTTCACAATTCTTAACTGATTGTTTCAATTTTTATGATCATAAATAATTGTTGAATCTTATCAGATATTAAAGACTGTAAACCTTGAACTTCATGTTCAGGAGCCTTTCTTCACATAACTGAAAGGTACAGGCTGTTTTCTTGCTTATAATTTCTGTACCGTACTATGAATGACATTCAGCTTCTATGTTGTATCCTTGTCATTTCTGGGGTACTTCATATCAGATTCAGTTAAAGGCCAATTATGGTGATTTGGTACTTTTTGTAGATGGGCTGAAAACAATTGAAGGGAGGTGTGCTGTAGGTAACTATAAATGGTAGAGTTGGTGTCTGTTTACTTTTATGTAGTTGGTACCCATTTCTTTCTGGTGCAATTTAGGTTTCTTGTTTGACTTTTTATGTGTCTATTTTGGTTATTCCCCTTCGTTTGGTTCCAGAATGGCATCAGGAGCAGCAATCCTTTTCAATAAGTGTGTTGCTTCAGGTTCAGGTGATAATAATTCCATTCAAACTTCCTATGCTTTCTTGTTGCAATTTGGTTTTCTAATAACCTCTTCTCAGCAAGATTTTCATCGCTATGCTTCATTTTTTGAGATGTTGGAAGCAGGGCCTTGAAAAGTCCTTCCTGGAGTAAACACCATAGCTGAAGGTAACAACCTGCACTTCACCGGAAAAAAACAGCTCATTTTGGAAGGGCTAAGATAGATTTTTTTTTTTTAATATATGGGCCAAAATAAATGCCTTTATGCTTAGTGTTTATAGCCCCGTGTCTCATTTTTATATCTTTATACCTCAAGTTTATATCTTGGTATTTTATGTTCATAGACTAGTTTATAAGGTGACATACCTAATGATGTTTTATATGCAGTTCGATAAACCTAAAGTGCATCATTAAGTCTTAAAGACTAGTCTTTCCTATTAGGATTTACTGTTTTTTCTAAAATATGTTTGATCTCCCTATTAGTAAGCTCTACTTGTCCACTTGTTTGAGGGTGATAAGGGGTGACAACTTTGTGTGTGATTTCATATTTCTTCATTAAAGACTCAAATGACTTGTTGCAGAAATGTGTTCCACCATCACTTATTATGGCTTGAGGGACTTCAAATCGACTCAAAATATTTTCTTTCAAAAACTTTATCACTGTTTTGTGATCATTGTTTCGACTTAGAATTGCCTCTATCTATTTTGAAATATAATCTACTGTGACTAATATGTATAAGAAACCAAATGATGGAGGGAATGGACCCATGAAATCTATACCCCAGTAGTCAAATATCTCAATGACAATAATAGGATTTAAAGGCATCATGTGATGTTTTGAAATAGATTCCAACTTTTGACAATTTTCACAAGACTTGCAGAATGCATGTGAGTCTTTGAACATGGTGGACCAATAAAATCCACTTTGTAAGATTTTTGCAGTTGTCTTTTTTGACGAGAAATGGCTCCCACATGCCTTAGAATGACAAAATTTAATGACACTACTTACCTCATTGTCAGGAATGCATCTTCGAAATATTTGATTAGGACAATATTTGAATAAATAAGGATCATCCCAATAAAAGTTCTTCACTTCGTTCAAGAACTTTCTTTTATCTTGGGTACTCCAATGAGCTGACAATTGTCATGAAACAAGAAAATTGACAATATTAGCAAACCATGGCATTGTAGAGACAGGAAGTAAAGATTCATCAGGAAAGTAGTCATCGATTGGTGTGATGTCAGTTTTCGAATCTGTTGTCAATCTTGACAAGTGATCTGTAACAACATTTTCGCGGCCTTTCTTATCTTTGATTGTGATATCAAATTCTTGAAGTAATAAAATCCACCGCACCAATCTAGCCTTAGAATCTTTCTTAGAAAGAAGATATTTGAATGCTGCATGATCACTAAAAACAACAACAGGTGAGCCAACAAGATAAGATCTGAATTTTTCACATGCAAATACTACTGCAAGTAATTCTTTTTCAGTGGTGGTATAATTCATTTGAGTACTATTTAAAGTTTTACTTGCATAGTAAATTACATAAGGTTTCTTATCTTTTCTTTGTCCCAAAACAGCACCTACGACATAATCACTAACATCACACATTATTTTAAAAGGTAATGACCAATTGGGAGGTTGAATGATAGGAGCACAAGTAAGTAAGTTTTTAAGTTTAACAAAGGCTTCTTCATAATGTTCAGTCCATTCAAAAATAGTATCCTTTGTTAGAAGGTTACTTAAAGGCTTATATATTACACTAAAATCTTTGATGAACCTTCTATAAAAACCAACATGTCCTAGGAATGATCTAACATCTTTAAGAGATTTTGGTGTTGGCAAGTTTGCAATTAACTCGATTTTAGATTTGTCAACCTCAATTTCTTTTGATGAAACAATGTGACCAAGTACAATGCCGTTTGTTACCATAAAATGATATTTTTCCCAATTCAGCACAAGATTCTTCTCTTCACACCTGGTCAAAACCTTTTTTAAGTTAGTCAAACAATCATCAAATGAATCGCCAAAAACAGAAAAATCATCCATGAAAATCTCAAGAAAATGTTCAACCATATCACTAAATATACTAAGCATGCATCTTTGAAATGTGGTTGGTGCATTACATAATCGAAAAAGCATCCCTCGCTATACAAAAGTACCAAATGGACATGTGAAAGTAGTCTTCTCTTGATCTTCCAATGCAATTTCAATTTGGTTGTAACCCAAATAGCCATCTAGGAAACAATAAAATTCATGACCTGCAACTCTTTCTAGGATTTGATCCATGAAAGGTAAAGGAAAATGATCTTTTCTAGTCATTGAATTAAGTTTTCTATAGTCAATGTATATGCGCCAACCAGTAACAGTTCTAGTGGGAATTAACTCATTGTTCTCATTTGTTATCATAGTGACTCCAGACTTCTTGGGTACAACTTGGGTAAGACTTACCCATTTGCTGTCAGAAATAGGATGAATGATTTCATTATCTAGAAGCTTAATGACTTCATTTTTCACTACTTTTTTCATATTAGGATTTAGCCTTCATTGCATTTCTCTAGAGGGTTTAACATTTTTCTCTAAATAAATTCTGTGTGTACAAATCAAAGGACTAATTCCTTTTATATCAGCTATGGTCCATCCTAATGCATTTTTGTGTATTTTCAGAGTTTGTAATAACTTACCTTCTTGATGTGCATTCAGTTTGGAAGAGATTATTACCGGAAAAGTTTCATTTTCTCCCAAAAATGAGTATTTGAGATTGGATAGCAACGACTTCAAATCAGGTTTTGGTGGTTGAACACTTAAAGGTATGAACTTAATTGATCGTGGTGGCAATTCCTCAATTTGTGGCCTCCAATTACTTGTCTTTGATTCTTCCTGAAAATAAATCATTTGCAAATCATCAGATTCATCAATCTTAATTTCATTGGAAGTGGTTGAAAATTGATCATGAATTAATTTTTCAGTAAAGTCCACTTCTTGTAAATCATTATCATCTCTAGGTTGCTTGTAAATGTTGAAAGTATTCATCTCCAATGTCATGTTTCCAAATGATAGCTTCATCAGTCTATTCCTACAATTAATCAATGCATTAGAAGTTACAAGAAATGGACGTCCTAAAATAACAGGAAATGAATTACATACTTCAACAGGTTGTGTGTCCAAGACAAAAAAATCCACAAGATAAATGAATTTATCGACTTGTACTAACATATCTTCAATTATTTCTCTAGGCACTTTTATAGATCTATCGGCAAGTAAAAGAGTTATAGAAGTTGGTTTTAACTCACCTAGATTGAGACTCTGAAAAACTGAATATGGAAGTAAATTCACACTAGCTCCAAGATCAAGTAAGGCTCTTTCAATTTTATGTTCTCCAATAAAGCAAGAAATTGTAGGACAACTAGGGGTCTTTATATTTTAAAGCATTATTGTTATGAAGAATAGCACTTACTTGTTCAGCTAGAAATGCTTTCTTTTTCACATTCAGTTTCCTCTTCACAATGCATAGATCTTTTAAAAATTTAGCATAGGAAGGAATCTGTTTAATAGCATCCAGCAAAGGTATATTGATTCTTACCTGTTTGAAAGTTTCAAAAATTTCAGAGTTGTGATTGACTTTCCTTTGTTTGGTCATGGTTTGAGGAAATGGAAGTGCTGGCGGAGAATCAGTCTTTTCTTTGTAATTTTCAGATTCAACCCTTTCTTTACCCTCAGAGATTGACTCATCACCTTTCTCATAAGGTTTAATAGAGGGTTTTTCAATAACCTTACCACTGTGCAGAGTAGTGATTGATTTGACTTGATCCATGTGTTGGCTTCCGGAACTATTTGTATTTGCATTGTATTGCCCCTTGGGATTTTGTTGTGGTTGAGATGGAAACTTACCTTTCTCTTGGAAACTGAGAGTAGATGTTAATTTTGCAATAATATCTTTAAAATCTGTCATGTTTTAAGCAAGTTGAGTATTGATTGTCTCTTGCGTTTTAATGAATGCATGCAATGTTTCCTCAAGATTTCTTCTAGGAGGTGGAGTATAAGGAGGTACATATCCATGAGAATTTTGGAAATTATGGTGTGCTTGAAATGGTGGTTGTGAAGTTTGTGCATTGTTGTTTTCACTCTTCCAACTAAAATTTGGGTGATTTCTCCAACCAGAGTTGTATGTTTGTGAGTGTGGGTTGTGGTTAACCCTTTGGAAACTATTTAAAGCATGCGCTTGTTCATGGAGACATTCCTTAAAAGAAGGCAAGGTTGGACAATGATTGGTTGAGTGTTTATTTGTTCCACATATTTGACACACAATGTTTTCAACAGATTTTAATTGACCATTTTTTTTTTAATTCTAGTGCCTCGACTTTTCTAGCTAAAGATGCAAACTTCACTTGGAGGTTATGATCTTCCCTAAGGTTGTACATACCTCCACTAGATGTATGAGGTTGAGTTTTACTCGGTGCCTCAGAAGTACTCGCGGTGTCCTAATTTTGAGCATTTTCAGCTAACAAGTCTAAGTACTCCATTGCTTTACCAGGATCTTTATCTTCAAAAGTTTCATTGCACATCAATTCAACCATTTGCCTATCTCTAGGTGTTAACCCTTCATAAAAATATGAAACCAATCTCCATGTTTCAAAACCATGATGAGGGCAAGTACTAAGCAAGTCTCGATACCTATCCCAACATTGGTAAAATGTTTCTCCTAGTTTTTGAGTGAAAGTGGTGATTTGTCTTTTGAAAGAGTTTGTTCTATGAGATGGGAAAAACTTCTTTAAAAACTGTTATTGCATTTCTTTAAAAATTTTGTAGCCATGTTTTAGCTTTATCTTTTAATGAAAAAGGAAAAAGCTTTAATCTGATGGTGTTCATGCTACAATTTAAATTATTATATGTATTACAGACCTCCTCAAATTCCTTTAAATGCAAGTATGAATTTTCCAATTCTAAGCCATGAAAAGAAGGTAAAAGTTGAATAATACTTGGTTTAAAATTAAAATGAGATGTATCGAGAGAAAAAACTATGCATGATGGTGCACTTGTTCTTGTGGGATTCATGTGGTCTCTAAGTGTTCTAGCACGGTTATTCTTATTATTCTCATTATGAAGTGATTGATTATCTTCTTCGGCCATATTTTCTGAAAATGATGAGGATACCATACAAAGTCTACCATTTAATGTACGTGACCACACTCTCATGCACGTGTAGGAATAGAATAAAAGAAAAAAAAAACAGAAGAAGAAGAAATAATAGACAAGAAATAAAGTTATATACAAAAAGGTGAAAAGAGAAAATAAAATAAATATTATAATTTAT